CTCTCTCTCTCTCTCTCTCACACACTCACCGCGCGCCTACGCCAAGTCGGGTCGGTCGGAGTCGCCTCGAAAATGGCTCGATTTTGGCCATTCGAAACTGACACACCCAGAGCAGCGAGCGGTTGTGCATTTTTGGGCCATTTTCGATCGGCCCGCGAGTGCCCGCTGTGCCCAAAAAGCAGCTCTCAAAAGCACGCGCCCCGCTGCAAAGATCGCGAGGCTCTCCCAACGCACGGTCGCAGCACAGCCTGATCCAAGCTTAACAGTGCAACTGCGTTGGCATGCCTCAGCCCTGCATCTCCGCCGCGCTGCCCTACGCTCTTCCCGGAAAGGCCGACATGGCCGTAGCCGGCTCTCTCTCTCTCTATCTCGACGCGTCCAATGTGCAACGAGAATAGGGCGTGTTGCAGCGGTGGCTGTGGACGATGAACCACCGGAAAAAAAGGGGTCAGGGGGTTTGGTTGGGCGGAGAAGGAGCGCGTGCTAACATTACTGTAGCCAGCTTCAGCGAAAAGAGGCGGTCCCGCTGCACGCTGCTGCCCGAATACGTAGCGCTGCTTCCCCTGCGACTGCAACCGCCTAGACTCGGCTGTCGGTGCGGCATCTCGACATCTCGACATCTCACTGCCACCCACAATCAGGGGTCCTCCATCTCCACCCCCAATCATGCTCTCTCTCCATGTGGTCCTGGTTGCCTCCAAGTGAGCCAGCGTCAGACAGCACAGCTCGCCTGACCCAGCCTATCCAAGCGAGACCCGCCACCGCCGACCCAAACAATCCAGTCCGGCTGGCGGTCCAGACTCAGCACACCCAGGCGAGCTGAGAGATTGCCGACCCATAGTAAAGAGCTGCTTGGTAATCATGACTGGCCCCACGAGCTGAGCTCAACCTCCACGTCTAATTGCGGCAGCCAACTCTGCGCCGCGCCCGCAGGAATGGCCAAAAAAAATGGGCCGAATTGGGTTGGAAAGGAAAAGAAATGCAACTGCAGAACGCGGTGCAGCTGCGCACCTTCGCACCTTTGCAGCGGGATTTTTTTCTTCTTTTTCCTGCCGGAACCCCTTCCACCCACCTCGACACACTTCATCACCTCCTCGACATCTCTCGTCACCAGCAGCCGTCAACAAGCACCATCGCACCGCCCAACACGGTGACACTCGAGGCGAGCGCACTAGCCGCCACATCCGCACCGCACCCATGCCATACCCAGCTACCGCCACCCCGGGCGAGGGAGAAACAGGAACCGTGGCGCCCATCCTTCCCTCGGCGCAGGCGCGCTCCTCACACACTCTCTCCACGCCCCAGCTTCAGCGTCTCGCCAACAGCGGCGATGCGGGCGCACAAGTCGACCTGGGCGCTGCTTCCTCCTCCTCCTCCTTCGCATCCACATCCGCATCGGCCGAGCCACCACGGCCGAAAAAGGTGGTGCAGCCCAAGGGGTGGCTCCACTTTGTCGCCGGTGGAGCAGGCGGCATGTGCGGGGCTATCATCACTTCGCCGCTCGACGTCGTCAAAACACGCCTCCAGTCCGACCTGTATCGACAACGCTCGGCGCAGAAGCAGCCAATATCGACGCAATCCGCCGGCGTGCTTCAGAACCTGCGTACGCTGGCGTACCACTTTGTAGAGACGGGACAGCTGCTCAAGGAGATCAGCACCACCGAAGGTCCACGTGCGCTGTTTCGCGGGCTTGGCCCCACGCTCGTCGGCGTCATCCCCGCGCGCTCCATCAACTTTTACACGTACGGCAACGGCAAGACGCTCATCGCCGAGCGCTTCAACGGCGGCAACGAGACCTCGCTCGTCCACCTCTCCGCCGCAGCATTGGCAGGTGTCGTCACGGCCACCGCCACCAACCCCATCTGGGTCGTCAAGACGCGCCTACAGCTCGATTCGCGTCGCAACGACAAGGCCTCCTCCTCATCAACAACTCAGGCAGCACCACACAAGGTCGCACCAGCACGTGCGGCAGGTGCAGGCGTCGCACGCTTCTCCACCTTCTCCGCCGTGCACAGCAAGAAGGCGCTGGGCGCGTTTGGCGAGCCGGCCTTCTTTCATGCAGCCAAGGCGTCTAGTGGGTCGAGCATGAACTCGATGCAGATGACGCTGCACATTGTGCGCAACGAGGGTCTCAAGGGCTTGTACAAGGGTATGAGTGCCAGCTACCTCGGTGTTGCGGAAGGGACGATCCAGTGGGTGCTGTACGAGCGCCTCAAAAAGATGGGCACATCCAACACCGACACCGCCGCAAAGGAGGGTATGGGTGCCAAGCTGTCGAGCATGGTCGGGGCGGCAGGTGTAGCCAAGCTCGTGGCGAGCCTCATCACCTATCCTCACGAAGTGGTGCGCACGCGATTGCGACAGCAGGCCGAACCTGGCCAGCGACCAAAGTACACCGGCCTTGTACAGACCGTCAAGTTGGTTTACAGAGAAGAAGGGCTCGCTGCACTCTACGGCGGTCTCAGCGCACATCTGCTGCGTGTCGTGCCCAACGCTGTGGTCATGTTCAGCATCTACGAGCTCACTCTCCGCCTAGCCACAAACACCGAACCCTAATCACATCCTCATCCCCCTGTAGCATCGAGCTGTTTGTATCTGTATCGTCCCACACCATCCCCACCGCACCCACTTTAGATCCGCGCCAATCATACGTCGCAACAATGTGTACTTTTACCAATCCCTCACTCCATGCTTTGACATGCGCACAGAACCTGCTGAAAGCGCGGCGGGCATAGAGTCATATCTTTCTTTTTCGTTGTGCGGACTGAGCCAGACGCGCACAGATACAACGGTGCGATGTGGGGTTTTCGCGCAGTGTCTACTTGCTCAGCATCATCTGTTGTCAAAAAAAAAAGAAGCAAGGATGATCAGCTATCGCATCCACGTTGGCAAAGTGGGGGGTAAGAACGCACGTTGACAAACTCCTCGTAGTTGATCTGGCCGTCACCGTCGACGTCTGCCTCACGGATCATCTCGTCCACCTCGTTGTCCGAAAGCTTCTCGCCCAAGTTGGTCATCCTGCTCGCAAAAAACCAATGTCAGCAACATCCTTCCTTTAGTTTAGAGGGAGGCGGTTTAGAACGTACACGTGTCGGAGTTCAGCTGCGCTGATGAATCCGTTGCCGTCCTTGTCGAACACCTTGAAGGCCTCCTTGATCTCTTCTTCCGAGTCGGTGTCCTTCATCTTGCGCGCCATCATGGTGAGGAATTCGGGAAAGTCGATGGTACCGTTGCCGTCGGCGTCGACTTCGTTCACCATGTCCTGCAGCTCCGCCTCGGTCGGATTCTGCCCCAGCGAGCGCATCACCGTACCAAGCTCCTTGGTCGTGATCGTGCCATCGCCGTCCTTGTCGAACAGCGAAAAGGCCTCCTTGAACTCGGCGATCTGGTCCTCGGTCAGCTGGTCAGCCATGATTGCGTTACGTCTGCATAACCAAACCAAAGTCGATACGGTTAGTCTCGCCCTCACAGCGTCTTTAGATAGGGATGGAGATGCTACTCACTGAGTGGATTGTGGTTGTGGTGTAAAAGAATGGTGGCGGGGTGAGAAGATGGAGATGGCGTCTATGCAGATTTGGCTGTGTGTGTGGGCCATCGACGATTTGCGCTCCACACATCCTCTCTGCCGCTTGCTGGACTGCAAGGCCGTGCGGGACTACGCAAGGTGTTGCTCTCCGCCCTTCTCTCGCGCGGCACAAGCGCTCAGTCTCTGTTGCCCAAAAGAATCGATTTCGGCTCGGGCCAAGTTTGTGGTTTCGAGTCTGCGTGTGCTGGCAGCCGAGCGTGTCTTTTTTGGACTCTCCTCGGGCTCAGCGCGTTGTTATCGCTGCACTGCCCTGTCGTCATCGCCCTCGCCTCTCGCCGTGCTGTCACCGCGCATTGGCCCCAGCCGCTCCACCGCTCCAATGCCTCGACAGACGTGATCGACTCGCCTACTGCCACACTGCCACTCTCTCGCCCTTGCCGCCGGCTCATGACATCTTCCCTCGCCGGTCATTCTCCCTCTCCCTTCCATCATCCGAGCTTCAATTTACCCATCATTTCGCCTCACAGACACACTTGACCGGTAGAACGTGAGTCGCCGAGAAATATTGAGCTTTATTCTGTATACAAGAGACGATGTGTGTACATGAAACCAAGCAGCAAGCAGTGCCACTTTTCCGAGATCTACATGAGCGATGTCGCCGGCAACTTGGGGACTACCTGGACCACGTCCAGGTGACGGGGGTGGTGACGCCGCTGTTGGACAGGGCGTCTTGGAACTTGTCCGACTCGAGTTCCTCGGACCACTCGTGCGCGAGCCTGTATGCGCCGCGACCAAACTTGTCTCCACCCGTCCATCCGGCGCGATCGGACGGCGTAGTGTTGGCGGTGGCCGAGTCGGACGACTCCTCCTCGCCCGGCGGTGGTGGCGTGGACGGCCTCGACGGCATGCGCTCGGCACGCAGCAGCTTTGCTTGGAACGTGGCGCGAGGTGCACTGCTACCGCCAGCGCGGCTGCCCGATCCAGCGCCTCGCGACTTGGTCCCATACGACGAGCCCGTACCCACACTGCCACCACCCTGCCTCGAGGGTGCGACCGAGTTGTAGCGCGACACCATCATCGAGGGTGCCAAGAAGCCCGGTGCAGATGCCGGCTGGTCTGGCGTGCGGCTTCCATCCTCTTCCTCCTCAGCAGCCTCGTCGCCTCGCGCCACCTCTTTGCCCTTTAACGGCGAGCTTCCACTTGCCGCCCTGGTCATGGACGTGCTACGCTGCACCTCCTTTCCGAGCGCATTCTGCATGGCGCGTCGTCTTGGATCATTGGAGGCCGTCATGCGCGATGGGGGCGGACTGGCCACCTCGAGCGGTGTGGCATAGCCCGACGCCGCCACCGACGCAGCCGCCGAAGGATTGAGGCTCGACAGCGCCGACCTCTTGGCCTTCTTGCCCTTTTTGAGCTTGCGGGTGAGCTGGGCCACGACGTCGCGCGCCTCGGCAGCCGCCGCCGCCTGCTCGAGCCTACGCACGAGCTGGTTAGCCCGTGCCGAGCGTCGCACGAAGAACTCCATGCCGAGCGAGAGGTCGAGCGACATGTACTCGTGGCCCTCGTCGCTCCAGATCATCTGAGCGGGCGAGAAGCCGTCTTCATCGTCGTCGATCACATCGTGCATACGACGCTCCACCGAAGAGTGCAGCCGGCTGCTCCTCACGCGGCGTGTCAGCGGCGTAGACTGCAGCACCGCAGGCGAAGACGAGCCCGATGGCGCACTCGAAGGAGCTGCCGAACTGACCGTGTCAAAGTTGGAGCAGTAGAATCGACTCAGCCAGCCATTCTCCGGATCGGGCTGACCCCACGACTCGGCGTCGCCCTTCTTGATCTGGTACACGTCGGCGTCCTGTCCGTCGTCGGGGAATCGCCACACGAGGCCAAAGTCGAGCTCCAACCGAGCCGACTCTGCACGTGCTCTGGCTCGAGCAGCAGCGGCTCCAAAGTCCTCCTGGCGCGTCGTTCTGCGGCCGGCTGCCGGTGCGGCCACTTGCGTCTGCTCGGCCTGAGCTTCGGCTTGATCGTCCGAATCGTCGTCGCTGCTATCGTCGTCGTCGTCGTCGTCATCATCATCGTTGGCGGCTGCAGCGTTGTTCTGCGCAGTGGCTTCGCGCTCATCGTCCGAATCGGGCGGGGAGACCTGGAAGAGCGAGTGCCAGGTGGAGTCGGTATCGAAGCGCAGCGATACATTGTCGGGGTCGTATCCCTTGAAAGCGAGCGGGATGACGTGGGTGACGGTGCGCGGCTGTGCGTTGACGTTGAAGGGCTCGCGCGCACCGGGGCGCTGAAGCACGTTGAGCCTGAACAGATCCTCGTCCGCCTGCTGGCGCTGCGCCTCGTCGACGTCGGCCTCGGAGAGCGTGCTGGGCAGTTTGCGGGTGACGCGCAGACCGACGCGCCAGTCGCTGTTGGCAAAGTGTATGGCGATCAGCTCGTTCTCCACGGCGTGCTTCCACGAGGTGTTGAGCGCGCGCACGGTGGTGTACAGCGTGGCCGGATCGCAGTACAGAAAGATGTGGCGCAGCAATTCGTTTGGAAGCTCCGGACGGGCGTGGCTAGGCACCGAGGAGGGATCGGACGAGACGGGGCTCGAAAGCGTATTGGGCGTCGAACCGAGCGAGGCGCCCGCTGATTCACAGCGAGCGAGCGGTAGCGCACTCATCTTGGGCAACAAAGACGAGGCTTGGAGGGGAGTCTGGATGGTTCGACACCAGGAAGGTCGAAGTTGGATTTCAGCTGTCACTGAACTGTCCAACGATGGGTGGATGGATGCAGAAAGTGGTCAAGTGTTGTGCAGCGTTGCTCTTTGGATCAATAGCTTGATGAATTCGAGATCGATGGCGAGGAAGGTGAGAGCTTGGGGTGTAGATAGGCAGCAGTGACTGACTCTGGTCGAGATAGAGCTGCGCGCGGTTGCAGCGCTTTGCGGATTGGGCGTCTGCTGAGTCTGCTTTGCTAGACCAGTGCGGGGGGCCTCAGCTCGAGTGTGGCCAGCCAGTCGCACCGCTCTGTGAGTGCAAAGCCAAATGCAGCTCTGCAGCCCCGCCTGCGTTTCCCCACAAAAGCGAAAAAAAATCCAACGAGTCCCACCAGCGCAGCCCGCTCTGCTGTCTATTCATGCCCAAGTGCAGCACACTGCCTCAGTGCTGTCTGCATCTTCACGTCCCGCCATCATGATTAGAAGCTTGTATGCGCGGCGCTCACCATCATCGCTTTGCGCGTCCATCGCGACGCGCCAACGTGCCTCGAGTTCAGGGGGTCAAGGGCTGAGGGCTTCGATCCATGCGCACGTTGCACCGAGGCCTGCTGCGGCAAATGCCAAGCGGCGTTCGACAGAGGCTGAGGCTCGCAATCGAGGCACGTTCGCAGCTTGCCAAAAGCGAGAGAGAGCGAGAGAGAGCGAGAGAGAGACGAGACGCAGCGTCAGCTGGACAGTGCGGGATGGCCACACTCGCGCCAGGCTGCCCAACGCGTCTTGTGGCTACGCTATGGCTGCCTCGCTTTCGCCAATTCTGCTGCAGGTGCCTGCAGCTTACCCCGCATTTTCCTCGCCACTCTGGACCCGCTCGATGCAGCATGATGCGATGCAGCCGACACTTCTCGGCCGTGACGTTCACGAAGATACGGTCTAACAAACGCCAAAATTCTCGCCCACCTTATTAAATATTATAAAGCCAGACGACGAGGCATGGGTGCTCACCTTGAAGCTGCTCTCGCGCTTGGCATTCCGACTCTGCGCACCGAGCTCACGCCGACACGCTCTCCGTCTGGCCACCACGGTCTGCGATTGTAGCGTTGCCAGACAGAGAGCCATCCCGATGTCGAGGCTTGCGTCGTATGAACGTGGCATGCTCCTGAATCCGCACGAGACGGTCCAGAGATCATCGCTCGCCCTTGATATCCGGACCACGCTACGGCAAGAAGCTGGCTGAACGAATGTTCTGTCAACCACGCGGGACGATCCGCAAAGGATGGCGTGCAAGGGTCTGATGCCAGCCGAGAACCCGTGCCAATCCGCGCAGGCATTCGGGACTTGCAGTCCGGACGTCCGCGACAAGCCAGGTGCTTTTGCTCACGCCAGGACCCTCGAAATCTTGGTCTGTCAGAAACCCAAGCCTATCGAGGACGAGCGCGAGCATTCGGGAGCGCCGATGCATGATGTCAGGATGGCTAAGTTCGACCGATGCAAGCCAGTGGCCAAATCTCGGTCGTTTTTTTTTTCTTCTTCGGCTGCACCTGCAGGGTCCATCGCAAACCAGCCAAGCACCTGTTCATCCGTCCGTCGGTCGGCGATGCTTGGCTCGATTCACTTTGAGGCACGTCTACCGATTGCCTGCAGGCGCGTCTGCGGAATCGAATGGATGCTACTACGGCATGGAACGTCTGCTGAAACGGGGGCGGGGCTCGTGGTCTATGCTAGATTCCGCCGGAGAAGAAGTCACCAGAAAGCTGCGCAGGTGCGGAATCCAAAGCGTGATCTTTTGGTTTGGCTCATCGTTCTTTGCGTGCCAAGACGGCGCGGCGCATGGCCCAAAGACACGATTCGATGGCCAAGCAGAGTGACGTGAGCTTCGAACGCGGCAGATCTTCATGCAGGTCGCAGAGCAAAATTCTCCGAGTGCGGCGAATTTTTTTTT